TGTGTGTGTGTGTGTGTGTGTGTGTTGCAGGGTAATTGGTGTCAGCTTTAATTAGCGGCTCCGTGCCTGACACCATATAGAGCTGCTGAACTGGTGACACTATAAAACCAACATTTATACATTAACTCCGAACATGTGGAAGCTGAAGAAGGATGGATGTTATGCAGAGTTCAGGGTGGAGTGGGTGGAGATGGGGGGTGATATGTGACAAAAGGATGGCAGAAAGAGTGAAAGAAAGGGTTATGCGATGATAGTGACTATGCTATGACGTGACACGTGAGGCTGAGCTGCAGGTATAAAGATTTTTACTGGGAGTGTCCGGGACGGACGGGATTAGAAACAAATAGATCAGAAATATGTCGGAGTGCGTCAGAGCAGGCAAGGCTGAGATGGTTTGGACATGTGCAGAAGAGGAACGGTGGAGATGAGTATGGAGCTGCCAGGCAGGAGCAAAAGAGGAACACCATGAATGTAAAAGATTCATGAATGCAGTGAAGGAGGACACGCAGAAGCTTGGTGTGACAGAGGAGGATGCTGGGGATAGGCTGAGATGGCGGCAGATGATTTAGATCCCTAAAGGAAGTAGACAAAAAAAGATTTAAGGGGGAATGCAAGTGACGCTTGCATTTTTAGTATTTTAGTTTATGTGGAACTGTCCTTGAATTTTCAGATTTAAATAAAGACAATTCCACTATAAACACAACCCATGCTCATGAAATTTGGTAGTAATATAAAAATATATACAATTAAAATGAGATTATCATTACAGGTAAAAATACGTTTTTAATCTTACCTGCCACAATATATGGACCATGTCAAATAGAGACTTCTGCTTCCATCTTGTGGCCGTTGGGGGAAATGCTCCAGCTCAAGACATGAAAATGAGAATTCTGCATCAAGATGATGGGAGAAGTAGGATTGTTTGCAAACGGCTACAGTCAATCAACAGTTTATACACATTTGAACATTGCTGCACATAATTCATGACACACATGCGTACTTCTGTTTTTGCTGACAAATAGCACCCTGCTTCAACAGTGTTGAGTTCTGGGCTGTGGGGAGGCCTCTCCATGGCTCGCTGTCTTTCATTGTGTGTGCGTTTTAATCCAAGTATGCTTTTACTGCTTTTACTATTTGGGATCATTATGCTGAAAAACAAAGCCGCTGCCAATCAGACATTTGCTCCAGTGTCACAAAACAATAAACATCTGGCCAATAGAAAGTGGACCCGTGACAGTCACAGCTACAGTTGTGGGCCACACCCACTTCTAACTGGGCGAGTATAATGCTGTCTCTTTTGTCTTGTACATGCAGTACAGTCTATGCTCTGATTGGCTGGATTATCTTCTGACTCAGTGCATTCCCATGATGCACGAGTATTTCTTGTTCACTCACCTGTCTGTGCTGAATCATACTTGTTATTAATCTCTGTCTCTCTTCCACAGCATGTCTTCCTGTCTTCCTTCTCTCACCCCAACCGGTCGCAGCAGATGGCCCCGCCCCTCCCTGAGCCTGGTTCTGCTGGAGGTTTCTTCCTGTTAAAAGGGAGTTTTTCCTTCCCACTGTTGCCAAAGTGCTTGCTCATAGGGGGTCATGAGATTGTTGGGTTTTTCCCTGTATGTATTATTGTAGGGTCTACCTTACAATATGAAGCGCTTTGAGGCGACTGTTGTTGTGATTTGGTGCTGTGTAAATTAAACTGAATTTGGAGTACAGAGCATTTTATCTGGATCTTTGCATTTCCACAAGCTTTTAAAATACAGTGCAAAAACTACAGCGCACTCTCCGCAAAACACTTATTGGTTTAATCAGTAAATAAGACAACTTTCAGCACTTTTGTAGTGTTTATTTACAGCACAGCACATTCATGTACAAATCTGTTTAGCTTAGAATTTCACAGACATTACATTTACAGGACAGACCCAATTGAAGTCTGGAGAGTTCATCGCTTCCATGTCCAAGCTGGAAATGATCCGTGTCCACATCAGGAAGGACTGAACCCTGAGGAGACCAGTCTGTTTTCTAAAAGGAAGGTTTTCTATGTGACGTGGGTCTTTAAATCATATTGTTTTACACTAACACAAATTTTTGAAAAAATCTCAGTAATATTTGTAACATTATACAGAAATACTACTACTGCTGATAATAACCATGAAAAACAGCAAGAAGTGAGGCCATCGTTCTCTGCGCATGGCACTAAATACAAATACACAGGAGGCTCAGTGAAATGCAAACATGCCAACAGAGATTTGATCGTTGGCAACTGCACATCGCTTATGTGTGTGCTTTATTTAGCCACCACCCTCCTGCTGAGGTCATGAGTCCAGGCTGCTCTGAGGGTGCAACACATTTCCTGTCAGTCACTCTGCATGCTCCAACCTTTCTGAAATATTTTGCTGGCATCAAATTAAAAATCTTAAATATTAATAAAATGAGCGGAAATAGAAACCAGAGATCATATGTTTGAGTAATCTTTATCTGAGTGCTAAGGTGAAATAAATAAAGCTTGCAGAGTCATACAGTGGCACTCATACTCAAACCCCATTGGCTCACAGGGGGCCTAAGAGGAAGGACCACAGCACGTGTCTTCAGATGCTTCTTGTCTGATGGCTCACACGGAAACTCTGTTTGAATCCAGATATATAAACTACACTGCATTACTTCTAGAGAGCCAGCTGCAAGCGTACAAGGACTTTTATTAGTTATATTAATAAGAGAGCAGGAACAATAATGGCTGCATTTAGAAATAATTTAGAAGCATAGCACCAGCATTTTATATCTTTCCTTTATTATGCAAGCAGTTCTTTAAATTGCATTTAACTAAATAACAATAAAAAAGCTGTTCTGTAGCTTTTTCTCATATGACAGTCTCTCGTGTTTATGCCCACTGTTTGTGATCCAGAACTACAAAACAGGCGTGGCAATCGGTGTTCTGTCATCTTAAGCCAAAAATGAACTTTCAGTTTGAATCAGTGCTGGAAACGTTTGTGTACAGGTCTGCGTGTACGTATCTGTGCTGGTCTTTGACAGCTTTTACAGCTCCTATTCCCAGAATGTGAATTCTGCTCAAACACACTGAGGCGGAGGTCTCTCTTTTGGTATCAAATGGGAGCAAACAGTGTGTCATGCTGCCGCTACACTCTGTCAGTCATTACAACAGCAAACCAAATAAAATGCAACATAAAGCTACAGTAGTTACTTTAGGAGGTGTTGAGGAGGAGGAGGGTAAAGTGAAGTTGGCTTTGCAGGTTCTCAAAAAGTTCCAACAGTTGAAATAAGAGACTGACTGTGCAACAGTATCCGATTATATACTTACAGTATATATTTAAGAGGGTTTGTGTGGTAATGTGACAGCACTAAGTTGTCCTCGGTGAGATTGCTGGTGCGTGTAATGGGTCAGTAGATGAACTCTCCAGGGACTTCCTGCAGAGCACTGAAGGGCTCCTCGAACTTGAAGCGTTTGGAAATGGCTTTCTGCTCAGCAGTCAGGGCCGCCTCCTCCACGCTGGAGGCGGAGGACTGACGGCACTGACCCAGGGTGTAGGCTGCCATGACTATCAGCTCCTCTGTCAGCGGGCCATGAACTTCCCCTGCATCCTCTTCCTCAGCTGAGCTTGTACTTGTGGGAGGTTCGGGACTGCTGGTGGAGCTGCTGGTGGAGCTGGGCTCTTCCTCCACAGAGAGGATCTCCTCCACTGTCTGGTTGCCCTGAGGCTCAGTGGGCTGAAGCCACGGATGTGTGAGACAGTGCTCGGCTGTGGCCCGCTCCCTGGATACAAACACAGACCCACACGTGAAACAGTTATCCATGTCATACTCTCCAAAAGTTGATTCTGTTCATCTGGACGCAGCGTTTTGTGGGAGAAACGTTTCGTCACTCATCCAGGTGACTTCTTCAGTCTCAGCTGACTGCAGGTTTCCCCAGATCTTATAAACAGGACATTTGCATAATGACTGTAAAAAAAAAAGAAAAAAAAAGGTCCACCCCTAAAGATCGGGTCTCCCGACACAAACAGAGTATTGTTGTTTACGCTGTTAAGTGCCAGGATTTATACATCAGGGAAACCAAACAACCTCTGGTGAAGCGGATGGCACAACACAGAAGAGCTACCTCGTCAGGCCAGGACTCTGCAGTCTATTTGCCCCTACAGACCAGTGGACACTCTTTCAATGACGAGGATGTAACATCCTGAAAAGGGAGGAACGCTGGTTTGAGCGCGGAGTCAAGGAGGCCATTTACGTGAAAAGGGAAAGACCATCTCTGACTCGAGGAGGGGGCCTAAGGGTACATCTGTCACCATCTTACAATGCTGTGATTGCAGCCATTCCCCAACTCTGTGAATGGTACTCATGGCCATTGATCAGTGGGTTTTGATCAATGGTCATGAGAATTTGCATAATTAAGATTAAGGAACTGACCTCCCAGCCCATTGTTCCTTCAGTGGGCTGGTTTCAGTCATTATGCAAATGTCCTGTTTATGAGATTGAAACCTGCAGTCAGCTGAGACTGAAGACGTCACCTGGATGAGTGAAGAAGCGTTTCTCCAACAAATGCTACGTCCAGATGAACAGAATCAACTTTTGGAGATTTACTTACCTGGATGATTGAGCATGCATCAAGACATGTCATACTCTGTTTCAGCGGCAGTCAGCCATTTATCTTAAACTGGTCATAGCAGGTCAAATGTTATAAAAAATGCTGATTAAGCTCCAAAGATAAGAGAAATACACAAAGGCAAAAATGATACCACATTCTGAGGCCATATTAGAGTGAACTGTGTTGTTTCTGTGACTGACTGTGGGTGTTTGCGGAGCAGCATTTGGATGAAGGACAGAGCAGCTGGGTCCAGCTGCTGAAGCTCCTCATCACTGTAGCTCACACTGAGCTGGGAAATGTTGAGAAACGTCTCCTGCTTGTCTTCGCCCAGGAATGGAGAGATTCCTGTGAGCATCACATATGCCAGCACACCAACACTCCTAAACACACAAAGCAAAATATTCAGGCTTCGAGTGCGATCAAACGCAACACTTAAAACAAGGAACACTGTTTCTATGACAACAAAGCTAGAAAGGTGAACAATCAAAGTTCATATCTGGGATCTCGGCTTCAGTTTTGTTGGTACTCTCGTAGTTAACAGTCCAACGATACGACGTACATGCAGATAAGCAGCAAAAACTGATGGACGGCATTCACAAACACTGATGTGTGTGTCTCAGTGTTTGTATGATTCAAGCCTTTTGAGACTTTGTAAAAGATTCTGATGTTTTTTGTGATGAACATATTTATTAGGGGTGCAACGATATTCGTATCGATATTGAACCGTTCGATACAGTGCTTTCGGTTCGGTACGCATATGTATCGAACAATACAAAATTTTTAATTTATTTTATCAACTTTCCTTCTGACGATGCTGTCTGTGTTGAGCGCTCAGTGGATCTGCACTCAACAGTGCAGCCTAGGCGGAGCAGTCGAGTGCAGATTCACTGAGCGTAGGGCAAGCTAGCGAGACAGAAGCTAAGCTCTCCTTGCAACATGGCAAATTGAACCTCCCCCACCCTGCATTCCAAATTCTCGGACGTTTAGATCTTATTCTTTTTGGTTTGCAAGGATGTATGACCCCCTTCTAAGGAATGCGCGTCTATTATCGAAAAGGTAAACAGTATGTTGTAGTATTTGTGCCCATTTCAATGCTCTCAAATTCCATCACCACAACATGGGAGCAGAGTTGTTAGCCCCATCGTTATCTCCTTAACTGTTGGCCGTCCAGCCCCACGCACGGGGATCCGCGGTAGCTCGTTAACGGAGATTTGCCGTGTTGTGGCGTTAACGTCATTTCAGATTAACGCTGACAGCACTAGTGGGAACACAACGAATATGACTGCACATTTACTCCGACATCATCCTAGTGCAAAGACAAGTGGAAGCAGACAAAAACAACAAGCACGCATGCTACAAACTTTACCCGAGTCATTTAGACAGCCGTTAGCACATGATTCTCCTTATGGGGACCTGATATGTTTAATATGCTGCTGAGAATATAGCCCAGAAGAAGCGGATAGTATAGCTTTTATTTTGGAAAGAGCCATTTCTCTGTAATAAACTCTCTTTTCCAAAGATGAGTGATTCCTCAATCAGATACAGGGCTCGCAATATCGCTAGCCCGACGTCCCGGGGCTAGCGATTTTTTCAGTCGGGCTACCAAAATCTATCTCTTCCCTGCCCGTCGGGCTATTGTAGGAAGGAAAAATATATGTCAATGCTTTTGCATTCTTTCAGAAATGTAGCTGGGTAATTATGTCATTGGCATCGGTGAGCCACTGTCAATATGTGACATATTGAAATCGCGTTTGAATTTGCGCTTGTTTTTTTGCTTTCACTTTGCAATCGTGCGAACTGTGTATAGAGAGCGACAGCACTGATCTGTGAGTGATGATAATTTGTGCACCAATTCCTCTGACATCGTCTTATTAATCGTTAGCTTACTATGCAAACATGACAAGTGAAATCTCCCGCAGCAAGCTTAAACATGTGAGAGGTTGATCGCGCAGAGAATCGCTGAGCTTATGTGAGTGCGTGTAAAAGCAGCAGGATATATATTTCAGTTCTGCTGAGCCAAATAAGACAGGTCAGGGTGAAGAAGTGACAGCCAAAGAAAAGCTTACCACAAAACGGAGAAGTTATGACAAATCAGACTATAAGGCAAAAAGAAAGTGCAGCTTTATGGTTTCATGGACAAAAGAATTTCTGTGGCTGCAATATGATGAGCTAAATAACCAGGGCTGCACATAAGTGGTCCGCAGGTGCGCATTCGCTGTCAAAATAAAAAACACGCACAAGATAAGAAGTTGCAACGCGTGTTTGCATACATAAGATTTTCAGGAGGAGGACAGACATTTGTTTAGAACTCTTAAAGATGTCGAAGAAGCTCCTTTAAGCAATTACTTTGGTGTTCCTCCACCTCCAAAGAAATGTCAGGAGTCCGAACCACAAAAGAAGCGCGTATTCTCGGAAAAGTGGTTGCAGGAGGTGAGCTGGCTTCAAACAAATGATGAACGCACAGAGATGTGGTGCAGAATGTGCCGTGAAAATTTAATAAATGACAAATTAAAAAGGCATGAACATTTTTTTTGTATCGAAAAAATATCGAACCGTGACACCAAAGTATCGAACCGAACCGTGAATTTTGTGTATCGTTGCACCCCTAATATTTATATGTATTTTAAGACTGCTGAAGACAAGCACATTGCCTGAAAATCACCCATACTGCCAGTAGGGGGCAACAAAGTTAAAAGTTCTACTCAAATGAAGCTGATACTGGAAAGAAAGCTGAGGAAATTGTATTGAGATGTCTGTTTGTGTGCGACTGCTGCGATAGGTAATTAGCAAAATTCATCAAATGCAAGTTTTCAAAACCTTTTGTTCCACATGAAATTTATCTCAGTATACCACTATAGGACTTTCCTTACCACATGTCTGTTGCTGTGCTTATTGGCTCATAATTCAGAATCTCAGGAGCTGTAAAGACGAACAGACAGTTGTTTAGAATCACCCCAGTGTTCGATTCTTGTAAGGTGGTAGCAGCAAGGCTGAGCAACAACTCACCAACATACTCTGGGGTTCCCATAATCTCTCTTAGTTCTTGGTGGCTGCTGACCATCCTGGACAGACCAAAGTCCACAATCTTAATGTCACCCAGAGGAGAAGTGCTCGTCAGCAGGATGTTCTGAGGCTGACAGGACAGCACACGTGTTATCGTTAGACAGCTTTTTAAACTGTGTTAACTTGTGTGTGTTTCATGGAGTCAGCTGGCTGACCTTCAAAGCATTTTACTACAGAGTGAGAACTGAGTAGCACTTCAAGCACTTTCTATCACATGCGCAGTTATATTACCTAATAATTATGTTTGAACTGTGTTGTGGGATAACCCAGGCAAACCTTAGCCTGTGCAAATGTTGCCCATCACTTTCACACAGGAAATACTCAATTTGTGCTTTAAACTGATTTCACTGGGGCAGATGTCATTCAAAATACAGATGTTTCCCTCTGCCTCCACGTGAGATAGAAGTTCAGTTGCTGTTAGACCCATATAGACTTTTTGTGTCATGGTGATGTTTACACAAAGAATGTATCAGGGATTCGTTTACAAGATTGAAAATGTATCAACTACACAAGTGACACAAAGTAAAGGAGACGGTGGAGAGTCACGAGTGTGTCCACAAACCTTTAGGTCAAGATGAACTACATTGTTCTGGTGGAGGAAGGCCACTCCCTCCAGGATCTGTCTCATGAGCCTCTTCACATCTTCCTCACTGAAGGCCTCATCCTCTTGGTCTGACACACACTGATTGAAAATTTCTCCTCCAGCCGCACTGCAACAGAAGACACATGACGTGGGACAGATCAGTTGCAAATCTGTTGACTGGCCCTCTGTAATGTGTCAGTGTCAAAGTATCTTAACCATTCAGGCCTGCAGACCCTCAAACATTTCAATGTGTAATTCTGGGGTTGGCTGTAGGAGGGAACTGCAGCAACCCAAACTACAGACTGTATGCTTGTTTCATCCATAATTTGACCGAAATGAATATGAAGCTTTTCCTACGTGATTACTTTGTATGGTGAATCCCACAAGACCCAGCAGAAATAACCCCCTCTCTGACCTGTCTGTGTTCTGACTTGTTGGAGGTGGAGGCAGAAATAGCACATCAAATCCAAATATAGCAAACTAATTATGAGCTTGAATGGGGCCATTTACACTGTTGGTGATAACGTGTTATTTTATTCAGTCGCACACAAATAAAAAGGGTTGTAATCAAAATACAAACAGTCAAACTTACTGAACCTCTACATCTAACTTTAATTTCTTCTGACCGGATGTAAACTCAATAAACTCGGTTCAAAATATAAAGTGAGGGCAGTCAGGAATAGACAACGGGTCCCCTTAGGGTGCTGGTGAATTAGGCTTTATCTCAGAGGAAGGCAGAGAGGAGAAGGAAGAGGTTTGTGTGACTGCGTTTTTGGTTTGCAGGTTGGGAAGAAAAGTCTGGGTTAGAACTGTTGAGTCCTAATCAAAGCCAAATGTCACAGTTCCTGACAGGAAACCCATTCTGAACACTGACCAAGGTGTGAGGCACTACTGAAGCCCAGCTACAGTATAACTACGCACTTCACACATTGAGACCCAGGACCTGAGTGAAGGGTTAAGTCAAACATTTCCAGAAGAGCAATTCTGGTTTTTCATTTGTAAATTCCCAAACTTCAACCTGACCAACAGATTCCAGTCTCCAAGACCAGTCTACTTTTCCTGGACCATTTTTTAAAAAACACTGGATATCATAAAGCTTCAAGTTTAAAAGGTCTGCTCATGACACTGAAAAACATGTTTTTTATTTATGAATGCTACAAATCTCACCCCATTAACACTGTTTCTAAGGTTGTGATACATTGTTGCCAGCCCTGACCTCTCTTCCTCTCTGTGTGCCAAGAGTGCTGGCAGTGGTCTCTCTGTCATTTTTACAATAAACAGTATAAAAGATGGACATATGGGTATTTAGGCACTTGTGCATTGGCTTTTTGTTTTTTAATAAATCAGCCAGGTAGCTAGGTCCATCAGCTACTGTGTATTATTTTCACACTGAGACATGCATACAGACAGACAGACGAGCACAAATACACCGTCCATGCTTGGCAATGGTGGGAAAACATCTAGAGGTGTGGTCATACCAAATGTGTTTTTGTCTCAAGAACAGTACATAAGCTAGTTTTGTTTTTCACCCTTTTCCCTCCATCATGGCATCATGCTGAGTACAACAGAAAAATGGCATCAGCTTAAAGAAAGAATGAATAAATCTTACACTTCCTAAGAAAACAGCATGCTTTGAAGCCAGACTTGTGCTTTCCAGTGGAGCACCATCAGCATTGTCTGCCCATCTGCAAATATACAGACAGGGGAGGTGGTGGCTCATCCATTTACTGAAATCAACAGCAGACGGAGTTTCAAGTTTCAGCCCATCAAAGCAGCTGCACCATCACTTTCAAAGCCAATAAACAGTATCTGCAGATGGTAAACGGACTGGTTCATAAGTAGCACTTTTCTACTCTACCTGGGCACTCAAAGCACTTATGCAACTTGTCCTCATTCACACAGCGAATGGTTAGAAAAGGCACTTGCTGGGTACGATTAGGGTTAGTAAGTAAGTGCTTTCATTTTAACATTTGCACACGCTGATACTCTGACAGATGCATCGGAGGGCAATTTGGTGTTACCATGACTGGAACAGCCAGGTATCAAACCACCAACTTTCCAATTAGTTTATGACCTACTGCACCTTCTGAGCTACAGCAATCCCATGCAGAGAAGTTCCCTTTAACTTCAACTGCAGGATTTCACTGACAGCAGCTCCTTTGCATAATAGAAGGTGAACTAAGAAGTTGCAAACTCACTTTTGTACAGAATTCTGAGGTAGGTGATCAGGCAGGTGTCTGGCACTCAGTAGGTGTGTCTCTAGGGTTTGTAAGGTGATTCTCTGTATATTCTTCATTTCTCTTTTATGTAGTTAACGGCCTTTTTCATAATGATTACATGGAAAAAATGGTTGCATAATGAATGAATGTTTGTGCTACAGACCATTTCAAGATGTGATACTAAAAACTGAGACAAAAAAATAATTTAGCAAAGGGCACACCATGGGTATTAAAAATGTGACAAATCTATACAAAAAATAACGTCAGTGACACTATTGTTGTTGTTTCATCTAGTGTGGGGAAAATACATATGTGTCAGATGTTTAAAGATTCTTTGATGTAATACAAAGAAACAAAAGAACCAAAACAACATTTTTAGGTTGTCTGAGGTAGTGCTGTGCTTCTGCTGATCTGGCTGCATATTTCATTGCTATATATTTCAAGGGGCCATCACAGTGTTTGAGGCGGTGGTGTTGTTTGACCTGCTGCCCTCTGATCAGCGCCTCAGGTCAATCAGATCCCACACCTCCAGACTCCTTGTTTGTATACATATTTCTGCTGTTTGTTATTTATTCCTACTGTCTTACAATTTATATTTTATTCCCACAGTTGGTGTGGAGCACCCACAATGTCACTGTTCATTTAAAATGACAATAAAGCCCTATTCAGTTTTATTCTATCTAGCTGCTGGTAGACTTTTCTCAGCTTAAATCTGGAAATTTAGAAGAAACATAAGACTTTGTAGACACAAATAATGATGTTTTCCTGTTTCATTAACTGTTTACTACAGTTACAAATGGCCAGTCCTGATAAAGTTTGCTTCCTAGCTCCATTATTATTTTATTAGCCATACACTCAGAAAAATTATGGTTCTTAAATGGTTCTTCAGATGTCTTCATGGTTCTTTAAAGAACCATCATACGTCAAAGAACCTTTTTATTTTGTTGATGGTTCTTCAGCTATTACAAATGGTTCTTTAAAGAACAAAAGGTTCTTCATCCTTAGCAATCTAAGTTTGATGGTGTAAATGGCATAAA